AAAATGAAAAAAATTTGATTATTTGACTTTCATTTATAAATTCAAAATTTCTGAAAATTAAATTATTTTGCAAATTATTCTTTGAATGATAAAAAGAAATTTCAATGATTTTTAATTAAATTTATCATTTTTTTTGATTCCTGTATAATTTTATGCTGATTATATATTTATAATTTATATAAAAAAAACATATATTATATATATATATATATATATATATATATATATATATATAATATATATCAGGTCATCCCATAAGTTCTGTCCGAATTTTGAATAAAGAAAACAAGTGACCAAATGTTACATTTAATTACAGATTCAATCAACAATGTATTTTCCCTGATTATCTATGACTTCCTTCCATCTATTAACAAGCTTACTAATTCCATTACTGTAAAATTCTTTTGGCTTTGATTCGAAGAACTCACAAATGTCAGTTTTAACCTCTTCCTGTGTTACAAAAAGCTGTTTCTTCCAAATGATTCTGTAAGCTACGAAACAAATGGTAGTCTGAAGGAGCAAGATCGGGAGAATAAGGTGGATGAGGAATTTTCTCCCAACCAAGTTCTTCGATCTTTTGTGACGTGATTCTTGCTGTGTGGGTCGCGCATTGTCCTGATGAAACATCACCTCTTTTCGATTCACTAGAGCAGGTCTTTTTTTTCCTCAAAGCTTGGTTCAAACGCTCTAATTGCTGACAGTATATTTGAGCATTAATTGTTGCATTAGGTGGTAAGAATTCAAAGTGGATTATTCCTTGGCGATCCCACCAGATTGAAAGAAGAACCTTTTGCCCATGAAGTTCCCTTCTCGGCTGTGGCTGGGGTCCTTCCCTTTACCAAGCCACTGTCTACGACGCTTAACATTTCGATAAAAGATCCATTTTTCGTCGCCAGTCACAAGTCTATCCAAAAAAGGTGAAACAAGTTGGCGAGAATGGAGAGAAGAGCAGATGTCAACTCAGGATTTGAGGTTGTTTTCAGACAATTCATGAGGCACCCATTTTCCAAGTTTAGGAACTTTTCCAAGTTGTTGAAGATGACGATGAACAGTTGTATGGTTTGAACTGAGAACCACTGCCAATTCCTCAACTGATAAAGCAGGATTTTCTTCAAGGGCTGCTTCAAGAAGCTTTTCATCAAACTCAACTGGACGTCCGGTTCGATCTTCATCTTCAAGGGTGAAATCTCCACCTCTGAATTTTGCAAACCATCTTCTGCAAGTTCTTTTCATTCACACATTCCTCTCCATAAACTGAGTGAATGTTTCTAGCCGCTTCGGCTGCTGAGTTTCCTTTCTTGAACTCATAAAGCATTATGTGCCTCAAATGATTCTTAGGTACTTCCATGTTAGCAGGGTTTTAATCAAACAAAATTTAATTTTATTGTTCTCTGAAATAAAATTTGATCAGTTTAAATGCATCTAAACATAAAAATAATGTTCAGCTCCATTAGATATTATAAAATACTCTTTAAATTTCATCCATTTTAACAAAGTTAAAATTCAGACAGAACTTATGGGATGACCTGATATATCTGGAATATTGTTCTGATGTATATATATATATCCTATGACAAAAAAAAACCTATGAGAGGTTTCAGAAGGATTTACATGCCATCAAAATGCCAGTACTATTCAATGAACATCTGGATTGAACTAGTTCAAAATTGCTGCATTGCATCAGTAGATAAATGGACAATGAAGTAATTCATTAGATAGTATCAATTGTATGCATATTAGAATACAGATTCAAGGTGGATATAAATTATCAATGATCATTTACAAAGACCAACTAGAATACCTGTATATTTAATCCTGAGTAAACTGGAATTATTCATGGTATTTGTTGTTTTATTTTCCCTCCAGTTGTGACATCATTATAAAACATGTGTGGTAAAACAAGAACAGACAAGTAGTACTTAAATTTAAGAGAAAAAAAAAAAAAAACAAAGCTTTGAACTATTCTTAATTGAGGCCAGAAAATAAAATGACAATTTGATCAGTTTGTATATGAAACAATTTTGAAAACTTTTAAATGAATGAAAAATTTATTGTCCAGCATCTATTTGTATGGTCTAAAATGGATCCACCTCATAGTTTTTTTTCTTGTTTTCAAAAAAGACCTCTCCATGTACATTATCTGAGAGAGAGAAGAGGAAAAGAAAATACATACCTAATAGAAGAATCATTGGAAAAAGTTAATTTTAAAAATTCATTAAGACTGAAAACATTTAAAATGTCTGATGAAGTTTACCTGAATGCAAAGCCAATTGGGCTAGATCAGTAGGGAATGAGGGATTCCCATGTGCCTACAAAGACAAGTCAAGAGCAACTTTGTCAACATACTATACCTTTGATTGTGGAATCAATTTGCATGGATTCCACCCATTTTTTTTTCGTCTTTTTAAACGAGAGTATTAACAGTGATCTTTTCCCCAATCCTTTGACTCTTAAATAACCTCCTTTGAAATAGCAGTTTTAACCACTATAAGATTATTTGCTGCTTGAAAAGGTTGCTATCAGATCCTCATATGCATTCCGTTGAATTTTTAGAACGGATCATTTAAAATAATTTTATTCATCAGGTTTAAAGTTAAATTTATATTGCTGAAATCATTTTTGGTTCAAAATAGTTTAATTCTTGTCAAGTTTTTACCAGAAGCCAATCAGAAAAAATTTTCACATCCAGACATTATTAGAACTGTTCATATATGGCATCAAAACCAAATTTTTTTCTCTCAATAATTACATCATTTCTTCAAACAACTTTTTGAATGATAATAGCAATAATTTAAACTGATTAAGAAACAAATTATTTTGTCTTTTAGACAATGTTGTCACACAATTTTTCCAAGACTAATTCCTCATTTGAATTGAAATGTTTGAACAAGTTTGAACCTTCCTCCATTTTCTATTAGCCAGAGAATGCAGATCTTGGGTGTACAGGGAATAAAAGAGCATTACTAGGTTGGATGCAGTTATTCACTTTTCCAAGACTAACCCCTCATCTTGATGCTTAACAAAACATTTTTTCAATAAAATCCGCTCAAAAGAATACCATTCTGTTTTTAAGAGTTTTTTTTTTTTCACTGAAGATTGAACTTTTCATATGCTTTTAAATAGTTGAAAGAAAACTTGCTAAAATTTATTTGTACCAGTTCTAAAAAATTAAAAGTTTAGCATTACATGATAAATGATTAATTAAACCTGATCTCTGCAGTACTATTTTTTCCTTGTTTTGTATGCTTGCAAAAATTTTGTAGAAAGAAGACAATATTCCAAACCTTCCTTCTGAAGAAGGAACTTTTTCCCATTTATAGCCAAACATTGATTTTTTTTTTTTGTTTGAAAAATTCAACATTTTTTTTTTCACTATTTACATAATACAATCTGCCTACTGGCAAAAAACAGTCCTTACTTTTCTGATATAACTCCACTGTATTTAATTAGATTATTTGTTATTCAAATAAAAGTTTTATATTTTGCTTTCCACCAGACTTCTTTTTATCGAGGAGTTATGCTCCTGGCTATCTAAATTTTTGCTATTTTTATGCAAGTATTAAATTTTTCAAAACAGTTTAATAAAATCTGACTAAAGATGGAAAATATTTTATTATTTTTACTTTGTATAGTGGATATAGTGTACTTTTTTGAGTCTGGCACAAAAAAACTGCCATGAAATTTTTTTGTAGGCCAATCACTAAGATGCTACCTGGTTTTTATGATCAATATCATAATCAGACATTGGAAAAATAACTATTTGTATTCAATCCAAAAGATAAAACATTTTGATTTTTAATTGTTATCAGAATATTTTTTATAGTAATTCATCATTTTTTTTGTCTGCATGGATGGATTTCAAAACTGAATTTAAATTATATTTAACAATTCAAAAAGTTGTTTCCATGATAAGTTCATTTTTTCAAAAAAAACTTTTTTGAAAGAATTGAGTCCAAAAGTTGAGTTGGATTTATTTCTGTGGTCAGTAAACAAACATGAAAGCATGTCTTTATGGAAAATAAATAAAGGGAGAATTTAAAATGTCCAGAAAATTTAAAAGGTATTCCAAAAAGAAAATTTGAATAAATCAAAATATTCAAAATAAAGGCAAATGGAGATTAAATAAAGTATTTAAAACATTGTCTGAAAAACTATTCCTGAAACATTTAAGAAATTTAGGTTTTTTTTTCAATAAAAAAAAATTAAACTAATTCTCAAAAAAAACACACAAAACCCTAAAAATAAAAAAAAAATGTCAAAACACAAAATTTTATTTTAATATTTCCTGGAACTTTTTTTTGACCATTATAAAACATTTGCCCTGAAACACACTATTCATTTGTTTGTCATTAATTTTTTCTTTTTGAATTTTTATACAACTTAATTTTTTGAAACAGAAAGTAAAACATTTTGTTTAATCTACATAATTTTGTATTTTCAAAAGTGACTGGCATTTATTTAAAACTGTTTTTTATTTCCATGGAAGAAACTATTTCCATTTTTAGGCAAGTTTCTATTCTATTTTTATTTCAAATTTAATTTTGAAATTTTATTAAAATATAGTAATGTTTGCACTTGTTCTCCTCACAAGAAATTAATGTTAATTCTATGCTTATTTCTTTTTTTAATTTTTTTTAGTTTATGTCCTGACTTTTTGAAAAAATTTAAAAAAATATAAATTTACTTTTGATAATCTTCCTTTCTGGTAAATAATATTTTATATTTTCCTTCATATTTATCATATATGCTAGATCTGTTTTTAAACTTATAAACATTGAAATTTCAGGTTCCCTTTGAAGAAAGGGAATATTTTAAATGATCAGAGAGAAAAAAACAGGACAAAAAGGCAGTTTCCAATTTGGAACTATTGACAAAGATGCTGCCAAAAAAAAAAAAAAAAAAAAAAAAAAAAAAAAAGCTGTATTAGAGAAATTATACAGGCAAAAGATATCAACAAGATTCTTCTACATATGTTGTTTCTACAGATATTTTTTCTACTAATGTCTTCCAATGAAGAAACAACCGATGACAGTTTTGAGCCAGGGAGACAGTCTAAGGGAACTTACAGTCCCTAGATATGCCATGGAACTTATTAAGGGTGATGTATCTTCCAAATTTGGGGGCTGGCCTAATAGATTCTTAGAAATATATGCTTTCTTTTATTGAAGCCTTAACTTTGAGGACATTATCATTGATAAGTCAAAATAGACAGGAAAAGGCTACACCACCATCAAAAAAAGCATGTTCAGAACCATGAAAATATCATCTACATTGGTGTTAAATGCAGAGTTGATAAGGATACATTGCAATACAAAGATTTCAAAAGGAAAACAACAGTAAAAAATTAAGAAAACCAAATGACCATAGCACTACTTGAGTTTTTCACCAGAAACTTTGAACATAGAAAGTAGATATCTCAACCACAGAGTTATCTCTAACATTGGTGCAACTGGTGTTGTGTTCCAGCAGAGGATGTTGCTGCTGTTTTAGAAGAATTCAACAGCATAAATTCCATTAAGGCAGTTCTTGTGGACAATACCAATACAAACACTGGTTGTGAGGCATGGTTTGTTACATCTCTGGAGAAAAAAAAAAAAAGAAAGTTGCACCATGTCTGTTCACTTCATCAAAATGAACTTCCATTTAGAGCTGTTTTTAAGTACATTGATGGAACTTCAAGAATCCCTACCACTTTTACTGGTCCTCTTGGGAAATTTTGTGGAAATGATTAACAGGATTTTCTCCAGTTAAAATTTAACACTAACACTGGCCCTCTGGATAACTTATATCGTACTGCAGGGGTAATGAAAGATTTAAGTGGTGACCAGAGACTGCTTTTAGAATATGCAGTAGGAATTTCTTGAGAGAAAGTGAACCCTAAATTTGCTGCCTGGTTAATATGTTCATGGACCAGAGGTGCCTATTCACAAAAACTCTATAATAAATTGTACAGCCTTATAAAATTTATAATTGAAATATATACAGTTGATTTGAAATTAAAAGGGATAATAAATTCCTTAACCAATAACCATTTCTTTTAACATTATCCAGAGAATAAATCAATTTGTCTGAAATACAGAACTTTTCATTAAAAAATTTACAGCAAAATAATTTTTTTTTTTTGCTTCAGAAGTAGCGAGCCACCAAAGAAATTTAAAAAAATTACATTCAACTCTGAAGTGACACTCTGGTTAAATCTGATTAAGCTCTTATCAAATGGAGTTTGTGAACCTGTGTTTGCAGAAGGCTTTTCAATTAATGAACTACAAGGGGTTTTAATGAATGGAACATTGGAGTTTCTGAATTTACCTGTACCTTCATAAGGTCTGGAAAGAGCAATTAAATTAACTACTGAAGCTTCACAAATTGTATATGGACAAAAAGCATGGAACAAATACATTATTACTAAATCATTGTGATATCAAATAAGACCTTCATTTATTTCAAAGGGAAATTATACTGAACAATTTAGATATATTATAATGTAATATGTTATAAACAATTTAGGTAATTATGTAATAGTTTTTAGTTTTAGTTTCAATAAAGAATGCAAATTTAAAACAGCTGTCTTATAATTTGTACCCAGCAATATTAGGGTGTTATATACCCTTTTATCTTTTTTTTTTGTTTTTATTAATTATGACCTATCAAATTGTGTAAGGATTAGCTTTGTTTGTAATCATTTATAATTTTTGCACAATTTTCACTTATCAAATACAGGAAAAACTTGCACATTTTGCTTGTGGTGGTGATTCATAATTAGAATTCTGGTTTGAATATATTTTCCATTCAATGTATCTAATATAAAAAATATTTTTATTTGGATTTATTCTTGAAAGTAAAATTTTGATGTCAGTTTGTAAGCAAAAACCTGCTGAAATTAGGTATTTCTGTACATTTTTTTCAGATGATCTTTTAAAATAAAATGCTGAAAAATTGGTAAAAGGCCAGTTAAACAAGCTTATTCAAATTAAAATATATGTACAAGGTAGAAGTACAGTAGAATAGCTTATTAAATGAATCCAAAATAAAAATCTCTAAAACCTTTTTAAGTTTTTGTCTTTTGTATTTACGGAGCCTCTTCAAAAAAAAAAAATCCTTAGTAATTTGCTTGACTTAAGTGTGCTATATAAGGAATTTTCAAAAATTGGAGACTGTTTGAAAAACATATTCCATTTTTTTTTTTTTTTGTGATTCTGTTTTTTTTTTTTTTTTTTTAGTAAGAATGCTTTTAACCCATCCGTTTTTTTTTTTTTTTTTTTTTTTTTTTTTTTTTTTTTTTTCCCAGGCAAACCTGCTATTGCTCACCGAGATTTAAAAAGTAAAAATATCTTGGTTAAAAGTAATCGGACCTGCTGCATTGCTGACCTTGGTAAGTACAAGGTAGTGGAAAATGGAAATCACTGTGTTTTTTGTTTTTATTTGTGTATGTAAACTTATGCTCAATATGTAAATTAAAGATATGTATTTCTCATTTTAATTCAGTTTCAGATAAATTTCTCTTCTCTTTTCTGCTTATACATTAAAAGAAGAATCTTGTTTTATAAAAAAAATAAAAATAGGATCTGATTTTGAGTTTTAATTCAATTTTAAGGGTGTATCAAAAATAATTTTATTGAAAGAAACCTTTCCCCACCCTGATTGCTTATCTATAAAATAAAAAAAAATATTTTGTTTACCAAATTTACTTTCTCTTTTATGCTGTCACAATTTAGAGACAATCTAAGTTCTGTTAGATTTAGAGAGCACATCTAATTACTATAAACGTTATTTGTAGTGGGTACATATAATAAAAATGTTTATATTAATAAGAAATAATGTCAAATAAGAAATTATTTCCAAAAAATTAGAGCATATCTAAAAATGATCGTACCTAATAAGTTACTTCCCTTGCATCAGTAATTTGCAATAAATACAATAAGTGTAGTGATTAACTTTGCTTTAAATGACACGTGATATCCATGAGATAAAAAAATTGTATATAAAAAAGTTAGCTAGAATTTTTATAAACTTTGTGTAAAAAAAAAATTGAAGCAATATACAGAAATGGAGATATTTGTGTTATGAAAAAAAAAAAAGTTTAAAAAGATCTAACATTGAGAACAAATTGCAAAAAATTTTTATAACCAATACCCTAATATTAAAAAATATTTTGAAATTATTTTGTTATTATTATAACAAAGATATTGATTTTAAAAAAAATTACTGAGTTATATTTTATGTAAGGAAGTCAATAATCTTCAACCAAGTTTATGCTTCATTTTACTTCTTCTGTATGCCATGAAAAAAAAAACCCTAAAATGTTCATTGTTTTGTATTTTAGGGAAGACAATTTATTTTTTTCTTAATCCTCAGATTTCTAACATCTCTGTTTTCCTTAAATTAGCAGTATTAATTTTTGAGAGTTAACTGTCTTTTATAAAATTTTAATATTGCTGTTGTGTAAAGCTTTCAGTTGAACCCATTTTGAAAAATGTGACCAAATGATAAAACATTAGAAATTTGGTTGGACTGAGAAATTTTCAGTAACCTCTCACATACTTTCAGCTTATCTTGTTAGAATCAGCTTATTTTATTTTCAAATTTCTGTTTTAATTAGAATTTATATGTAAATGTTGTAGGCTAATGAGGAATGAAAATTTATTTTCATGATGTTCTCCTTCCTTATCAATGCACTTAATCCACTATTTCTCTATTATCACAGTACTTATATGTATACAGTGAACATTTCAGATTAAAATTAATCTAACAATTCTATGTCAAACTTATTAATCCAACTAATAGAAAACAGGAATATTTTGAAATAATTACATCCCTGTTTTCAAATAGTAGACATCATTTCTGTTATGCAATTGATTTCTTTTTTGCACTGTCATTTTTATCATTTTAGGTTTGGCAGTGCGGCATGATTCTGAGACTGATCAGATTGACATTCCTCACAATACTCGTGTTGGGACAAAACGTTACATGGCCCCAGAGGCTTTAGATGAAACGATTAATGTTCGGCAGTTTGATTCTTTTAAAAGGGCAGATGTTTATTCTTATGGTTTGGTTTTATGGGAAACTGCCCGACGTTGTAATGGATTTAGTAAGTGTAATCAAATTTATTCTTTTCTTGAATTGAAATTTCCTGAATTACTACATGAGAACATTTTTTTGTTAATGTTCTTTAGCTCATTAATAGAAAATATTGTCCACTTTTTATCAGTCCTACCATGCCAAATATGTTTTTTATGTTCTGCTCTTTTAACACAAAGCTAAAATTTTGACTTTTGTCTAAGCATCTTCACTGAAACATTAAAGTTGTTTAGAAATAATTTTAGTAGCAATCTGTTCCATGTAGATTTCTTATTCAATGCAAGTTTTTTTTTTTTTTTTTTTTTTTTCAATAAGTTCCACATCTTTCAGATTCACATTAGCAATGAGAATTTAATTTTCTTGAATTTGTGAATGAAGGGATTATTTTTGTTTTGCATTATTTTACTTTCAGACTTAGAAAACTAGATTTGCCTTGCATTTGGAACTATAAATCAGCTAGCTATTTGTTTTTATAATTGTACTGAAAGTTGAAATTACTTTTTTATGTGATCTATAACATTAACTTGGTTCATTTCAGTATTCCTCAACCAGGTTCTATGATACATATTTAAAACAAATTCTTTTTAAAGCCTTTTTTATGGGACCACTGTGAATCTGTATCTGATGTATATAGAATAATTTGTCATTAAGTGTGTCAACAAGGAAATTAAAAATGTTATTTATTTTTTTTTTTTGCATTAAATTCATAAGCAAACATTGTAGATTTTATTAGAGACCATAAAATAAATGCTATGAATAACTTCCAAATGTGTATTATATAGCCTTTCTCTGCTCTCAGTATATTGGTGACTTGATAATAATTCATGAACGTTGATCCTTGAAACTGTTACAGATTGATGAAATGTTGACTTTTTAGATTATTATTCTTCTTATGAGGAATATGAACTACCATTTTATGATATGGTGCCTTCTGATCCAACTCTGGATGATATGAGGAAAGTTGTATGTGTAGAAAAACTTCGACCCACCATCCCCAACAGATGGCAAACCAATGAAGTAAGAAACTTTTTTTTTTTTAATATTAGACTTTTCAAATTACATATTAAAAATATGTGGCATATATTCTTTAAGGAAAACAAGAAAAATATGTTTGTTTTAATTTATTCAATATCATTTAACATTGAATTGATGTTTGGAAAAGATATAGTCTGCCTGACTTAACCAGTAAACATTTTTCTTTTTTTTTTATTATACTGAAGTTCACCCAATACAAAACTCAAGAGTCACTCAAAGTAAAGGGTTACTGTTGGAATAATTATGATAAATAAAATGAGGTGTGTGATATGAATGAAAGGGAAAATAAGAGGAAATGAGGATAGATAACAATTGACTCTTGACTTAAGGCTAAAATTGTAGTGTTCAGGGAAGCATCCATGTGGGAGTCTCTCCCATGGTAGCAGTTGTTGGGAAAAAGCTGTGTTGGAACTTCATTTTGAAATTTTTGAATATGAATGAAATGAGTTTGATTAATCTCCATGGAAGTAGCATGGCATGTCCTAGCTGTTTGAGGCTTGTGGAACTAAAGAATGGAGTGCTCATCTAAACATTGCCATAGAAATAGTGATAGAATTACAATGTTGTGTCTGTGAGAAAGAGGCTGCAGAGTGGAGAATAAGTAATCTACTACATGACATTGCAAATTATTTTGTACTCAATCAAGGCTGGAAAATGAGGTTTGAACATCTCCAGTCCAGATATGGCAGGAATACTCCATTTTGGTTTGATCTGATTCTTCTGAAAATAAAGCATGGTAGGAGTCAGGTACTTTCTGAAGTGGTACAATGAGCTGACCATTTTTCCAGCATTTTTAGCAATGGATTGTATATACGAGTTCCACTTGATTTCTGGATCCAACAGATGTTTAAAGCCTGGAACCTTATTTAGAGTAACTGTAAATATGAAACATTTGTGGCTATTGATCTTAGTGGAACCTATAGTTGCTTTGTAAGTGAAACTACTTAGTTTTTATTTTAATACTTAATTGTCTCCTTGATTTAACACTTGCTTTGCTGAATTTTGTCTTTTGCTAAATCTTAATTATTGTTTGGTATGATATTCATTAAAATGCCCATTTTCTTTGTAGACTGCTTGTCACATGGCACGCCTAATGAAAGAATGTTGGTACCACAGTGCTGCTGCTCGGCTCACTGCCCTCAGGATTAAGAAAACTCTTACTAATCTTGCTGCCCGTGAAGATTTCAAGCTTTAAGCACTCCCTGCTAATGTGTGGTTACTTGCCTTCACAAATCCACTGGCTCCATGCCAAACACTGACCTCTACTGGCTAGTGTGACCAACTGCCAGAGAAATTGTCCAGCCAAAATACAAGATGGATAGCTGAGCAGGGACAAATTCAGACAATCTCTACTGGTGAATGCTAGTATTCATTGGTGCGCGCAAACACACACACACACACACACACACACACACACAAATATGTTTGTGCGTCATTTTGGTTGAGACAGAGCCTAAAGAAAGCAACAAAAATGTAAAATATTTCAAAGGAAACCTTTACTTATCAAACCTCTCTCTCTCTCCCCCTTTGGCAATCATTCACTTCCTGGGTCTACCTCAGTCAGCTAGGGTTTGCTGCCATCTCACTAGAATGTTTTTTTTCCATATATACTAGTGAGTAAACAATGTCTTTTTGTAAATTTTTTTGTTTATATTAGAGCTTCCAAAATCAATCTTATTTGGTTAAAGTATTTTAAGAAACAAAAGCACATGCCAAAATATTTATTTTAATCTTAGCTTAAAAAAAGGAGAAAAAGTAATCTAAGTGAAAAACTAAAAAAAATGTAAACTCCTAACCCTACTCCCAATTATGCACACATATGCCAAGAAGCTTGGGAGGGGATGCGGGTAATAAGTAATATCTAAATTTAAAAAATAAAATCTTTCTGAATTTTGTATGTTTTTTGTGCTTTTGGCAAATCCTACAAAAGATGACAATCTGAATTGGCCTTGTGCATTTACAGTTGGCTTTGAGGGGAGTGAGTGCATTAGTGGGGTAACTTAATTTTTTTTTTTTTTTTTTTCATCAATAATTTTGTTGTTAGTATACCCAGTAGTATATGTCATAAAAACACAAACATTCAGTGTATATGTTGAAAACACTTGTTTTAATTGGTCAGTTGTCCTGTATTACTTCATGGTTGGTTTGTCTAAATTATACTAATTAGCTTTGAATTGCATCTACCAATTAGTCATCTGATGAGAGAGAGGTTGCACAAATTGGTTTCTGCTTATCATCTCATCTCACTATCATCATCATCGTAATAGATATATTGCATTCTTCTGGTTGCTGCTTTTAAATAAACAGAATCTCTGACAGCTGAATGGACAGCCAACCATCATGCTGAAGAGTAAATATTCGCACCAGTTGAATCTACCCATTGGGGCTGAGAGGTAGGGATACTATGCCCTAGAAAAATGCGGGGGCATTATTTTGTTTTTGTTTTTACTCCAGTTGTCAGCTAAAGACATTCTCTGAACTTTTTTAATCCCCAATAAAAAAAAAAATATAAAAAAAATAAAATTGTCCACTAGCCTTGTGGATACAGTCTATACTTGGAGCTGTGATCATTAGAACTGTCTTAACGGAAGCAATGGAAATTCTCTTGCAAATCAGATGCTGCCTATCTCAAAAGCTGACACTTCTTTCCTTGCTTCTCAGTTGACGCCTCTACAATTTGGAACCACACTCCCAAACATACATTGGTTGAGAGCTGTTGTATATTTTCTGTATTTGGTTTTCTTTTCAAAAGTGCGGCTTATGGCTTTTTATTACTTGAATGCATTGTACACCTTCCCACTTCCCAAGTCAACAATTCTCTTCTCCTCATTCTCTTAAAGTATTCTTTTTCTCAAACCTTTGTAGATAGTTTTCAAATCTCTTGCTTTAGACACAAATTCTTTGGCTTACAATTTCACAATTAGCTGTAAATAGTTTAGATAGTGATATTTTCTTATTCTATGCATATTTGATACTCAGTAGACACTTAGCACAACTAAGCAAACAATCAAAAACCCTAAGCACTGAGTATGTTTCCATTGTCTGGACACGAGATTTGTTTTGGTTCATTTCCTGTCTTTGAGAGGCAATCCAACTTTGATATTTTTTGGAAAATACAGAAACAATGTCATGAACAGGGGCTTGGCGATCATAGATATTGACACAGTATTTTTCCTCTTTAGATATTGATAGGAAAGTACTAATTGAAAACAGTAGTGAGAATTGATTTCTTTTTTACATCTTAAGCATGTCAGTATTATCTTTCTTTTTTTGCAAAAGCATCAAGTGCTACTTGTTAAGATAGTTGCACAAAAAATAATACTGTCTCTAGTATATGATAAATTTGTCGGCCTCAAGCAAAGAGACCATTTTAACTGTCATATGACTTATCTAAAATGGTAACTGTAATGTTTGCAGATTTTTAAAAAAAATTCTTCCAAAAGGAAGATCTGAGAACTAATTTTTCTCACATCAATTTATAAAAAGAATTTCTTATCCATTGGCTTTATCTTATCTATGTTGGATGGGTATGCATCTACAGAATGATATCCCATTAAATTAGGAGGCTTAATCAATGATTGTTTTCCAATTATTGAACCTCTGACCATTGCATTCTTAAACCCAACATTTTCTTCTGCTGCTGTGCAAAATTGTATGCCTATAACTGACTTTGTAAATCCCATCAAAGTATGAAACTTTAAATACTTGCTTTGGCAATTATGTCAGTACTGTACATTTACAGGATAACGTGTATCTTTTGAAATTGTTGTACTCTTATGTGGAATGTGTATAATAGTAAATTTGATAAGGATGTTACCTGACTTTGTCTTGCCAAACAAAGTAGACTTACACATTTCTAATTGTCTATTAAAAACTGAAATAAAATAATCTTGGAATTTATAATCTGGTGCCATTAATAAATATTCTTTTCAGGCTTAGAGATGAAAGAACATCGTCTATATCATTATTTTCCTTACAAGTGTTAAGGGAATAAAAAAAAAAGAATTTGACCAGTTAATTGGATTTCATTTAAAAACTGGGGAAAGAAAAAATAATGCATAATTAATGCATTTAAATTTGTAATATGATAGCAATTAATTTCTATAAACCAGCCAGAAATTTGAAAATGTAAAGTTAATGCAAATCCAGTTTCAAACTTTTTAACAATTTCAACTTTGATACTCATTTAAGATATTCATAGGATAAGAAAATATTGTTGAAAGATTGTTTAAAATTTTTCTTTATTCAGTGTCATGGTAATTGTTACATTTGTTACTTTCTTTTGTGGTATTATTAAAATAGATTTTTGCACCACTTCAGTCAGTGTTTTAAATGCTTTGTGTTCTGGTTTTGAATTATTTTATTTGGAAAAGATTTTCAAATATTCCAGTGTTTATTTCTACAAGTGTTGAAATGCTAAAATTGTGAGCCTGATTTTTGCTTGAATTCTTCAGATACTTTTAGGACCTTTGGTGCCTGTTTGGGTCTTGGTAGAAATAGTCTTCTTTTCAAATTAGAAGCAGTTTGGATTTTTCTTTTGTCTTCACTAAAGAAGCAACATGTTCAATCAATTTTTAAGTCAAAGATAAAATCATGTTTCATAATGATTAAAGTCCAATATTTTGTGCAGGGAAGTTGTTCCTGGATTCTCTCTTGGGAACCCACTATATGATTTGATAAAAATGATGCTATTTCAATTGGAAATTAAGGAAGTTGAGGGCTACTCTCGTGTGTGTGTGTGTGTGTGTGTGTGAATGAATGAATCTTCTAAATACTTGATGGCATTTCTCAATTTGTTTTCATTGATGTAAGCAATGTTAAACCAAGTAATAGGATTACTGGTATCTGATTTTCAGTTTGTGACCTGAGAGACTTCTCATTCAAAGAATAAGGATCAGTTCCAAACAGACTTGGCAGTTTAGTGGCAGGAATTTTTTATTTATTCTTGGGTTTATTATAATGAAAGCCAACAAACCTCAAATATATGACTACAGCTTTTGGAAACTTTTGTGCATTTATGAAAGTAAATTAATATTTGTATAATTTGTCATTCATGTCATTTTCTAGACAGTTACTCGTGTAATTGTTAGTTCCCTGTTTTTTTTTTTATTTGCTATGTGAATACTTTAAGTATAAAATTTATAAAACTATTAAAAATAAATAAAAATGCTGCATCATGAATGCCATTCAATCCAGTTGTTGGCTGGTCTTTGCCACCAGATTATTAAAATTATGTTACTGCCTGAAAATGGCAGAAAGTAGAATTCTTTTTAGCACCATTGTCTTCATGTATTTTTTAGAGAAATTTGTTTTATAACAAATTTCAGTCTTGTTTTGCACATTTCAATGCAAAGTTTAGTGATACCTTAAGATTACTTGTCTGTAAATTTTGTTAAGGTTGATAGATTTTACAAAAGCCAAGGTAGAACTTGAGAATTCAAATCTCAGAAAATGACATTGGTAATTTTTTTTTTTTCTAAAACAATGGCTGAATTTGTCATTGAATCAAACAGCATAAGAATCTTTTTTGATAAATAAATGGCAAACTTTTTCATCAAATTTTGTCTCAAACCATTTTCACAAGAAAATCATTTTCATTGTTTCATAGAATATTGTGTTCGAGTAGATAAAAAAGAAATATACAACAAACTATTTTTTTCGACATGTAGTAAATATTGACTTCATTTTCATAATGTTAATTTTGAAGAAGATAGAAAAATATTCACTTCAAGGTGATTTAAATGATGAAATCTTGGTGGGAATTAAATTTAATGTTCCATAATTGAAATACTAATTTTATTATCAAATAAACTTAATTGTTGTAGAATATTTTGATTGTTTTGTTGATCTGGTTGGCTTGGATTTAATAAATAGCTAACAGCCTAGAATAATGATCAAAATTTTTGCCATTTTTATCTTGTCTATGAATTTTAAAATGTATCTAATAAGAAAGTCCTATTTACAAAAATAGTAAAGTCAACAAATTTACTCATTAGCTTTTTAATCCACAAAAGAGACACATTTATATTGCTCAAGAGATGCAATAGTCTGTTTTGATCCTGTAATGAAATTTCATTGAATTCACACTGACTCACTCAATGTTTTTAATTGATATGACAGTTTTTACCTGTCAGATTCATTGCATATTCAGATTCAATGTGGAATGTTATCATCTCTTTACACTTACTAGGTTTC